ACGATCACCCGATGTCTGATTGTTCTGGATTGCTCCCCCGAATGGCGAAACGAGGTGTGTCCCCGCAGAAAACGGGAGGAGGGGGAGGGGGCACAGTGCGGGGGGCGGTGAAGCGGGGCGGGACGCGGTGCCGCACCCACCATGGCAAGCAGCCTGCACCGTCCCTCTCGACCTCCCCCCCGGTCCGCAGTCCCTTTGGCCGGTTCTACTGGCCTGTTGTCCTAGACCTTACACCATCACCTTGCACTGCGGTCGATGGGGAAGCCTTCAGCTAGGGGGAGCGCCTAGTGGGAACCTGTCCCACAGACTACATTTAAGGCGTACTTTTTTCTGACCCCCCCCCCCTTTTCCCCTCGAATTAAATCAAATCACAGTATGAGTTTCCAGAAGACTGGGTGTTTATTTTAAACAATCAAATAATCAGATTATAACAATTCAAAATACCTAAGGAAACGGCGATATTTTTAGCAGCAAAATTTGAGGAAGTCACTGAGCATTAAAATTAGGTGAAGTAGCTTTGTCTCATATTCTGTCGAAGTTTCAGTAGTTTTACCTGGAGCCTTAAGACAGGCTGCCCCACTGCCAAAAAATGTGCTTTCCTTTATCTTTTACATACTGTACTTTGCAATGCGGGTTTGGAATAGGGGGGGGGGGGGCGTCTCAAGACACTTCATCCCGCTTCCGTCGGCCGCCGTGATTCACATACTCTGGGGCTGCGTGGCGATGATGCTATGGCGATCTTGTTTCGGAAGACTGAGTTTCGGTGGTGTGCACGTCGCTGCCTTCAGCCGCGGCGCGCGTTGACCAGCCGCTTGCCTAAAATTGGGCCCTTCGGCCTTGTCTGGGTGCAACAGTGGAGCGCCGCCGCCGTGTCTGTCTGTGTCCGGGCCGACCGGATAGGCCTGGATACACCCGGATAGCGTGCGTGCCTCTGGCGTGGCCTGGCCCCCCGCCGGTGGCAGTTGCGCTCCGGCTCCGCGGCGCTGCCCCGCGTGGTGGCGAGGTGGGGTGGGGCGGGGCGGGGCGGGTACGGAGAACAACACTTTCCTTTCTGCCTTTGAATGAGGCGGCGGTCTGGCAGCCGCACTCGTGTTTTTTCTCCACATTACCGCTGGGCTCGTGCGCCCCCGCCGCGGCCCCTTATTCCCATTGACTCTGCAAATCTAAATGTATTGCAATAATTGAGATGACAGTTTTAAACTGCAAAACTAAAAGTCTCACAGTGTAAACTTAAAAAGTTCATCAGTTTAAACTTCAAAACAGTGTAGTTCAACAATAAAAACTGTCAAACGAGCCCTATGCAGTTGCGCCGCATGAACTGTTTGAACTACACAGTTTTGCAGTTTGAAAATTTCATGCAATACTTATCGACTTAAATCCATTGATGAGTAAAACATGCGCTCTTGTAATTTTACAACTTAAATTATAAATCGAGTTTATAATTTTTTTGTAAATTTTCAATTTTCACAGCGATGGCATATTGAAGTATATCAGAAATTCATCTGAACATTTAATAGTTTGAAGGCCTCATTTGAAACCCAACTTACGCTGCGTACAAGGCCACAGTCTACACCACGTGAGACGTAACAGCAGGACAGCCTTGCATTATTTTCAGAGAGGGCGAACCGCCTGGCGGGTAGGCAACGCTCGCGCCCGGCCGGCAGCCCTGTTGGCCGGGTGGCCTACCTCCCAGTCCACAGGCGCTCTCCCGCCAGCACCGCAGTCTTTTCTCCCGAACAGGGTTTTCATTATCCGTGGAGCGCTCATCAGTATCTCCAATTGCCGCCCTTCCCCTTTCACCCCCTTCTCCGTTTCACCTCCTTCCCCGTTGCACCCTCTCTTCCCTCCATTTTCCTTCCCCTCTCCCTCCTCCCCGCTAACCCAGTGCGGGCCAACGGGCCACCACGCCAGTGCATCTTCATTCCCTTGGTCCCTGCTCAGCTCGTTAGTGGGTTGGAGGTAGGAAAGGCGGGGTTGCAAGGGAAGTGGGGAGGGGGCAGGGGGCTTAAGGAGCGTTAGACAAAACCGTAACTTTCGGCTGCACAAGGGTGTGCACGTGGTCTCGTGCCCGCAGTGTACAAGTGCTTGCTCTCAGTGGGGCTGCGCGGGGATGAGGGTGCGCGCAGAGGGTGGCCGAAGGGCCGGGGGCCTGGTGTATGTCCTTGGAGGGGGGGTCCTGCGGGGAGCCCTATGGGAGGTACAGGGGCAGGGCATGCAGGGCGCCCCCTCCCCGGCGCAGCCCGAGGGTACAGTCCCGCCCCGCCACGGCGCGCCCCGGCCCGGCCGCCCCGCCGGCACACGTGAACGCACTATGCTAGCGCAGCTGGCCTTGGCGGCGGCCGCGGGGGCGGGGGAGGCGGGGCCGAGCGATCAATGCGCCTGTGCTGTTCCTCCCCCTCCCCCGTCCTCAGGCCCCCAGCGCTCCTGCC